ACGCCAAAGTCCCCAACGCCAAAGTCCCCAACGCCAAAGTCCCCAACTCCAAAGTCTCCTACACCAATATCTCCTACTCCCAAATCCCCAACGCCAAAGTCTCCTACTCCCAAATCCCCAACACCATCTGAAAAGGAAAGAGTGCTTTCTCCAATCAAGTCACCAAAGAGAGTGATGTCACCAACTCCTGACAGGAAACCGTCTTTCCCGTCCGGCCTGATTGACACCACTGCAGCCTCCGACTCAATTGTCAAACTGTCAGTGAAGGCAACAGGAGAACCCAAACCTGCCATCTCCTGGATGAAGGATGGAAAGGTAACCTGTTCAAATTCTCACACCACACTCATTCTGCCTTTTCATTAAAGAAAACCAATTTAATTGCATTGCTTAGTAACTTATCACATTTTCCTGATTGGCAGGTTCTCTCTCAGGGTGGGAAGTATGAAATATTTGAGGATCATGGCTCAGCTCATCTTGAGATCTATGAGTCTGAGGTCTCTGATAGTGGCACCTACAAATGCACGGCTTCCAACAGCACTGGAACGGTGTCCACAACCTGCTCGGTCACTGTCCGAGGTAAGACAGCCTCCATCTGTGTGGGCACCTGTGCAAAATAGTGTTTCCTACCATGAACCTAACCTTTACATCTTCTCTAGACACCCGAGCAAAAGCAGAAATTTCAGAAGAAGTCTTGAAAAGGGAGCTGATCCATGAGGAAATCTCGTCAACTGTGAGGGAGTCCTCACAGATCTCCGTCTCAGAGGTCCAGTCTGTGAGGAGAACAGGTTTCGAAGTCACCGAGGTCTCAGCCTTTGGTTCGGAGGCGCCGGCCTTCCTCCTGCAGCCCAGGTCCCAGAACGTAAACGAGGGCCAGAGTGTTCGGTTCACCTGTGAGATCGCCGGAGAGCCTTCCCCTGAAGTGGAGTGGCTGAAGGACAACACCGCGGTGAGGATCGCTTCCCTTCTGTCTTTGCCACAAAAACCCATTTAAAAAACAATTTATTCTACATGGCTTTTAACATTTTAACCTTAGGTTGAGGTAGAGCACCTTTTTACCTTTTTATTTATTTGTATTTATTTTTTTCTGTATTTATTTATTTATTTATTTATTTTTATATTAAAATCACATATACATGCTTTTTATGTACAGCACTTTGTCAACCTTGGTTATTTTAAATGTGCTACAGTAGGGGGAAATAAGTATTTGAGCCCTTGCTGATTTTGCAGGTTTGCCCACTTACAAAGAATGCTTATTTTTCCTCATCAGATGGTTATCAATTTGTATAAATTCATATGATGTGATTTTCTGGAATTTTCTTTGGGATTCTGTCTTTCACTGTTAGAATGTACATATGATTAAAGTTATAGATCGTTGCATTCTTTGTAAGTGGGCAAACCAGCAAAATCAGCAAGTGGTCAAATACTTATTTCCCCCACTGTATATACATAAAGTTTGACTTGACTTGACAAATCACGAGGCTGAGTCTAAAACGTGTCCTCCTGCAGATATGTGTGACGTCCAACGTCAGAATGAGTCGCTCCCAGAACTCCTACTCTCTGGAAATAAGCGAGGCCACCGTGGAGGACAGTGGGAAATACACCGTAACAGCAAACAACCCGTTTGGACGGTGCTCGGCCACCTCGTCCCTGAACGTGCTCAGTAAGTTCTATTACAGCTCAGTGGCCTGAAAGCACCATGGTGTCTGCTGGAGTCTGTGTTGGGGAGGATGCTTAGACCAGTGTTTTTCAACCCCTGGTCCTCGGTACACTAGTGTGCCGTAAAAAATCATCCTATTTCACCTCATTGGTCTAACAAGATTTTTTGATAAGGAATTAATTAGCTGCAAATAATATTAGATTTTTGAGTGTGTGTGCTGTTCTAGTGACTGGTGGAGTAATCATGTAATAATTCATTATGACTAGATTTTGTATATAATTTTGTATATTGAAGTGGACATGTTAAGTGCAATTTGAAAGAAGAAATATAAGATATGATAAAAATACATTTTTGTGTTTATTTGATTCCTATTCAAGACATATAAGATAAGATAAGAATAAAATAAGAATAACTATAGTGTTACTATAGGCGGCTACAGATTTGTTTGACATTTTTGGTTGGTGGTGGGCCTCGAGATTTTTTCAATGAAAAACTGTACCTTGGCTCAAAAAAGGTTGAAAAACACTGGCTTAGACCTCTGTCTGAGAGCCCTAGCATGGTGCCCGTGCACTCTGTGTTCACCCTCTGTGTTCTGAGCCAGGTGTGTGTCGTCTGCGTTTTACAGCTCTGGTTGAGGAACCCACAAAACTGTCTTTAGTGGAGCACAGAGCTTCCTCTGACGTGAGCATGCAGAGCGGTTTTGTGGCCTCGTCGGTTGAAACGGAGGCCGGCGGCTTCAGCAGCAGCTCCCGCTCTGCTGGGGGGGAAATGTCGTTTGAGAGTATGTCTGCCACTAGCATGTCTGCCATGATGGCTGCCTCACTGGTGTCCATGAGCTCCAGCAGCCAAACCGTGGAAATGTCGCATGCAGAGTCCTCCTCCTGCTCTGTGAGGGCCGTCACCGGCGGAGTCCTGAGAGGTGAGCGCAGCCTGAACGTGCACGAGCCCCGCGGGGGGGGGGGGGGGGGGGGTAAAACCAGGCCTCAGCCCATGTGGCAAGGCAAGGTTATTCTGCAGCACATTTAGTGGACAAGACTATTCAAAGTGCCTCACAGAGAATTTAAAAGCAGGAAAACAAGAAAAGAAAAATCAAATCAAAATTAGACTGATGAAAAGTGAAGGGTGCAGATAAAATAAGCTCCATTTCCATCTGCACAGCTAAACATTTTCAGTTTTAAACACTGTAAGAGTTGGGTTCTGTCTCACATCTTCAAGAAGATCCAGCTGAAATGAAGCTTCACCTGGTTTAGTTCTGACTCTGGGCCCCATCAGGAGACCAGAACCTGGTTTAGTTCCATCAGGAGACCAGAACCTGGTTTAGTTCTGACTCTGGTCCCCATTGCTCTGTGATCTGACCCCCCCCTCCTCTGTGATCTGACCGGGTCCTCTGTGATCTGACCCGGTCCTCTGTGATCTGACCGGGTCCTCTGCCCCCCCAGGTGCTCCTCCCCAGATCGAGGCCCTCCCTGAGCAGGTGAGTGCTGAGGCTGGCCTCCCCCTGACGGTGGCGGGGGTTTTCTCCGGAGACCCCCCCCCCTCGGCCACCTGGCTCCGGGCCGGGCGGGCCCTCCCGGGCGGGGACCAGCGGGTGCGGGTCCAGAACTCCCCTGAGGGCTCCACCCTGCAGATCCAGAATCTGAAGCAGGCCGACGCCGGAAACTACACGCTGCAGCTGAGCAACGCGCTGGGCGCCGCCGCCGCCACCGTCACCGTCACCGTCCGCGCCATCTGAACCTCTGAACACCACCTAAACACCACCTAAACACCATCTGAACCTCCAAACACCACCTAAACACCATCCAAACACCATCTGAACCTCTGAACGCCATCCAAACACCACCTAAACACCATCCAAACACCATCTGAACCTCTGAACACCACCTAAACACCATCTGAACCTCTGAACACCACCTAAACACCACCTAAACACCATCCAAACACCATTTAAACCTCTGAACACCACCTAAACACCATCTAAACACCATTTAAACCTCCAAACACCACCTAAACACCATCTAAACACCATTTAAACCTCCAAACACCACCCAAACACCATCTAAACACCATCTAAACACCATCTAAACACCATCTGAACCTCTGAACACCACCTAAACACCATCCAAACACCATTTAAACCTCCAAACACCACCTAAACACCATCTGAACACCATTTGAACCTCCAAACACCATCTGAACCTCTGAACACCACCTAAACACCACCTAAACACCATCTAAACACCATCTGAACCTCCAAACACCACCTAAACACCATCTGAACACCATCTAAACACCATCCAAACACCATTTAAACCTCTAAACACCATCCAAACACCATCTAAACACCATTTAAACATAATTTAAACCAGAATAAACACTAGTTACACCCCCCCCCCCCCCCCCCCATCCCACACTCTTTATTCAGTCTATTAGCAACAGCAACCTTACTCGATGAAGATCTGGATTATTCTTGTAAATATGAACTATTTTTGTACCAAACTTGACATTAATTTATGCCAAACTAGACTCAAGTCTAAAGTTGTTATAAAATGTGCCATATTGGACAATTATGACGTAGGGATGTTTGAACCTCTTTTCTGTGACATGTACATAATGTATATAGCC